ACAGAAACATCAACTCCAAAGAGCACCTGCACCCCTATGTTTATAGCAGCACTGTTTACAATAGCTAAGCTTTGGAAACAACCCAAATGCCCAAAAATAGATGACTGGATCAAGAAGATGTGGTACATATACACCATGGAATATTACTCAGCATTCAAAAAAGATTTGCAGCAACATGGATGGCTCTGGAAGGGATCATGCTCAGCGAAATAAGCCAGAAAAAAAAAAGAAAAATACCGGATGGTCTCACTCATAGCAGGAATCTAGAAAACTTAAATAAGGGACCAGGAAAATGAATAACTATAAGAAAGTGAAAATCAAAATGAACAAAAACTATGAACCAGAGACACTCTATGGGAGGTAGAAGGCAGGAGGGGAGTGATTGGGGTCAAAATAAGGGGGTTGCAATTGTATGGTGAATATAAAAATAAAATTTATTAAAAAATAAAATAAAAATAAAATAAAATAAAAATAAATAAATAAAAATAAAATTAAAAAAAAAAGAAAGGACTAGAGGCACTGGAAGTATAACCTCATAATTATCAACTAATAAGATGTAATGCTGTCAAATTCAGTAGTGTACAGTCAGGTCCAAAGAAGGAGACTAATGCATTTAAGCTGTGGTGTAGATGCTGAAGATTCCAGGATGAAGCCCCCTTCAAAAAGGTGCTCAGAATGTAAGAGAGGAGGCATGGGGGTTAAAAAAGCTCTATCAAGCTATCTCCAGTCACTGCAGCAGGACTTTGATCCCCCCACTGGCCAGGTTGCTAACCCACATGGCACAGCAGACCACTCCTGTTTTTCCTGCTGCTCCCCTCAGCAGTGTATTTCAGTAGATCTGCCTGTTATGCTCCCCACTCTGTCTGTGGTGAATCCTCTCACCCCCACACCTCTGGCTTGCACCCCAGTCCTTGTATGCATAAATAAATAAATCTTTAAAAAAAAGGAAATACATTTCTACACTGAAGCTTCAGGACCACTGAGCTGAGATGAAGGGAACAGAGACAGACAGATCAGAGAGTCAAGAAGGGCATCCTGAAGAAGATAGATTCCACTTACTTATAAGTCAGCCAATAATTACCAAATTTCTGCCCTGTTCCAGTCACTGAAAAGTATAGGAGATAGAGAGAGGGAAGGCAGGGTCTCTAATCATTATCAGTGGAAATGGGAAGCAGGCTACTCAGTCTACTGAATGTTCCCTGATATGACTGGGGGTTCCGCAGTTGCCTAACCTGCATGGTCTACGATTACCAATACCACTGCTCTAGACACTACTTTCCCTGGGCACCTGCCCTGTAAACAGATTGGCAGATAGTGATGTCAGACTTTTTAATTGAAAAACAAAAATGTCATAGTTTCTCAATCATTTATTGGGAATGGGTAGGGCAAAAATATGAAACTAGATAGAACTAAAGTTAGCATGTATTGACTATTATTTACCTAATTTTCAAAACCAATAAAGTCACAAATCACATATACATAGTTTTGAACAAAAGTTTTCTATATAATGAGATTCTTCATTCAACTTCAAGTGTTATCCATTCTTCATGTTTAGCTTAACACTGGTTTACACTTGGTGTTTCGTAAAATTAACTTGACATTAATATCTGCTTCTGATCAAACACATGGCTGGTTTGGGAACTTTAAATCAGCCACCCCAAGGGCCTCCCTGGTGGCACAGGGGTTAAAGTCAGCACTATCAAGCTATAGCCAGCCACAGCAACACTAGTTCAATTCCCGACAGCCAGTGAGCAACATACAAGGCGCAGCAGACCTTCCCTGTCTCGCCCGCTGCTCCACTCAGCAGTGTATTTCAGTAGATCCACCTGTTCTGCTCCCCGCTCTGTCTCTGGTGAATCCTCTCACCCCCACACTTCTGGCCTGTACCCCAGTTCTTGTATGCATAAATAAATAAATCTTTTTAAAAAATTAAGTCACCCCTATAAATACACACACATTTCCTCCCATTTTGTTCTTTCATCTAATGTTACACAACACACTAATTTTGATTCAATTTACATCAACACTTATTAATGAACTAAGAAGAGTTCCAGAGATCAAAAATTAAATAGATCCCACCAGTGCCTGCCCAGACCAGTGAGAACCCAGACATATTAGGGAGGGTATCAGAAAGGGGAGCTCTTGCCACCTCCCATGAGACCATGCCAGTGCCTCCCAGACAGGCATGAAAGAGGTATGAAAACCTCCCAAGGGACTCCGTCAGTGCCTACCTGGAACAACTGGTGATCTCCCACAAGATGACACCAGCACCCATACTGACTTGTGAGATCCCAGACCCATGTCAGGACTCTGGATGGGCAAGAGACCTCCTGTAGGGTCCTGTAGGACCCCTCCAGCAGATGCTCTCCTAGATTGCCAGGACCACCACCATACTGCATTTCCAGATCTTCTCTGAGGAAGACCCCCAGCTACTGTATCTACCACCTGGTAAATAACAAGAACCAGAGGAGAGGAACACACATCATAGATGTCCTAGATGTCCCATTCACAGTGGAGCAAAAATGAAAGCAAACAATGGGGAGAAAGAAAAATACCAATGGCCAAGCCAGTCCTCAGGGGAACAATGCACCACAGAAAGAAAACCAATCTCAGAAACCAACAGTGCGGTAAGATACCACCTCACACTTGTAAGTATGTCCCATATTAAAAAAATCAGAAACAACCAATGCTGGTGAAAAAGGAACACTTTTACACTGCTGGTAGAATGAAAACTGGTCCAGACACTGTGGGAAGCTGTGTGGAGGACCCACATAACACTACAAGTGGATCGACCACATGACCCAAGGGTTCCATTCCTAGGAAACTACCCAGAGATACAAATACACTACTTAAAAAAAAAATAAAAAAAAAATAAAATAACCTTGCACTCTTATGTTATTGCAGCACTATTTACAATAGCCAAGATATGGAAACAACACAAATGCCACAAAAAAGATAAATGAATCAAGAAGATCTAGTATATATGCACAATGGAATACTACTCAGCAGTCAAAAAAAGATAAACTCATGCCATTTGTGGCAACATGGATGGTGCTGGAAAGGTTGATGTTAAATAATTCAGGAGGAAAATAGGTAAATATTGGATGGTTTCACTTATATGTGGAATACAGAAAAACCCAAACCAAGCATCAGACAAAAATAAAGCTGACCATAGATATGAGGCATCCAGGAGAGGTGGGGCCAAAGGTGTATAGGGGTGAAAACAGGTGGGGGAAGAACACAAAGGAATACGGTGATGGACTACGGGTACAGTGGTGATGGGAGACCTATGGTGATCACACCTAAGAGGAGAAACCACATAATGTCCAAAAATTAACAATGTTCTAAGGAAAAATTAAAAATAATGAAAAATTTTAAAATAATGAAAATTTAAAAAAATAGGCAACAATCTATTGTGATAAGTAACAGAGTTCTAAAAGAAATTCAAATGAAGGTTATTTGTTATCCAATGAATATTATCATTCTGTTGCCTGTTACTTTTATAGATAAGCAACTTGCTAAGAAGTAACAGCTTTCTAGCAGGATATTTTTCTTTCCACCCTGGCAATGGAAGAAAAAAAAAAAAAAAAGCTTTACAGCCTTCACTCTAGCCTAAATGAAATAGAAGTTAACTTGTATATTTTTTAGTATAGTAAAATACATGCAGCATAAAATTTACCACTCTCACCACTTTTAAGTGTAGAGTTCTAGGGCATTAACATTTACATTGCTGTGTAACCAACACCACTGGCCATCACCAGAACATTATCTTCTCCAACTGAAACTGTTTCCATTAAATATTAACTCTCCTTCTCCCCACCCCTGGAAGTCATCTAAACTCTATTTTTAATAATAAGAATAAAGCAGTTTCTTCTCTACCTGACAACCCTCCATCAGTCCCTCCACCAGTCAAATGCAAATACTGTGTGGATGTTTGCAACGCTCTACTTCTCGAACCTCTCATTCAAAATAGAGTATGATTTAAAAACATGAAATACTAAATATGTGCTATATTTCTACGTACTTTTAATATTTGAAAAATGTAAGTAAACAAAGTGTTTTTCTTCAAAAAGAAGCAAGGACATGTTTCAAAAGTAGAAACCATGTTATTGTTTCAAAATATTTTAAATTTGTTAAATTCCAAACCCTGAAATATAAGGATCACATAGTACCTGAATTCCTGTGGGGTAAAAATTGAGTCCCTCAACAGATCTCCGCAGAGAGAGTCCCCATTACATGTATTTTTTTTTTTTATAAATTCTTTTTTTTTTTTTATAGAGGCAGGTTTATTTATTTATTTATTTATTTATTTTATTTGTTTGTTTGTTTGTTTTGTCTATACATGCACTGGGTACAGTCAGAAGCGCGGGAGGGTGAGAGAATTCACCAGAGCCAGAGCGGGGAGCAGAGCAGGCAGAAGGACCGAAGTACACTGCTGAGGGGAGCAGCGGGCGGCAGGAGAGGTCTGTGCGCCATGTGGGACCCCCCTCTGGTGGCCGGGGAGCAGCCGGGGATCGAACCGGCGCCGCAGAGGACGCGAGCAGCCTCGCAACCCAGCGCTCAACCTCTGCGCCACCGGGGAGGCCCCTCCATTACATGTATTTTTAATGTTCAGGATCTTTCAGAAATTTCACTTAGTCAGAGGACATAGGAAAATAAATTTACTTTATTAAAAATGCCAAGGTAATACTATGTTATAGAACAAAAATAAAGTAGCTTATGACTTATTTATTCCCTAGATTGCATTATTTAAAGGAATCATGAAACAACATTTTCAGTATTTCACCACATTATAAAAGTATTTTACTTATATTTATTTCATAAATTATATATGGACAGTGTGTTTTTAAATGCCACATGGGTCTTTCATTCACTTGAAAACATTTTCAAATAATTTAGGAGGTTGTGTTTCTGTATTTGATCTAATAAATTTGCAATAACATGTAGTAGCTATGTAATTCATAGTTTAGCAGGCTGTGTTTTTAAATAAAGGAACATACCCAGATGCTTTCTTCTCGTCGATATTGCTTCCAGTTCCTCCCACCATCACTGAACATCAGGAGATAGCTGGTCACCCAGTCAGAGCTGCCATATCCTCCCTGTGTAGCCACAGCTGTGACCTCCATTCTCTCTCCAAGGTCAATCTGTAGCCACTGGTATTTATCTGACACAAAGGGGGTCCAGCCACCAGCTCCTTTTTTTGAAAACAAAAACAGGAAAATGGTAAAGAGAAAGAAACAGTTAAAATCTATAGTAACTTAAAAGAATGTCACTATCAATGAGGGATTTATGAAAATCATAGTTTCAAATCCTGGATTATGTAAACCCTCATAATTATATCATACATGCTAAAGACACAGGTAAAAGGTAAATGGATGAAGCCTATGTTAATTGCTTTGATTTTTAGCTTATGAACCCTGAATCTTTGATTTGGGGATTCTACAAAAAGAAAATGCTTAATGCAACAGGCAGCTAACAAGACACTGTGCAATCACATTAGCACTTTGAACTAGTATCTTTACTATTATTTATTCATGATTTGCTTTGTGAGATATAAAGAAAAAATAATCAGATCATGGTGGAACTAGAAAACCTTAACTCTGGATTCCCAACAGAGAAAGTACAGTGTTGAAAGCTGGATAAGAAAGACGGTTACAGCACAGCCCTGTGTTCTAGGCACTTATGCTCTCACAGGAGAAACAGACATTCCCAAGAATGATTTGAAATGTAATGTGGCAGGGAGGAGATGAAGATGACTAGTGTGCAGGGAGGGAAAGGACTGAGAGGGCAACAGGGAAGGTGAAAGAGAGCCAAGTCAGGGAGTGATAAGGAATTCCTCAGATCTATGAGACAACAGATAAAGACCATAAATTAGTAGGGTTGTTTTCTTTTTTTTTTCTTTTTTTTTTTTAAAGATTGATTGATTGATTGATTTATACAAGCACTGGGTACAGTCTGAAGTGCAGGAGGGTGAGAGAATTCACCAGAGCCAGAGCCAGGAACAGAACAGGCAGACTGACGAAATACACTGCTGAGGGGAGCAGCAGGTGAGACAGGAGAGGTCTGTCACACCATGTGGGACCCTCACTGGTGGCCGGGGATAGAACTGGTGCTGCAGAGGCTGCAGGCAGCTTCGCAGCCCAGTGCTCAACCGCTGAGCCACCAGGGGAGGCCTTTTTTTTTTTTAAGATTTCTTTTATTTATTTGTGCACACAAGTACTAGGGTGTAGGCCAGAGCTATGGGGAGGGTGAGAGGATTTCCTAAAGACAGAGTAGGGAGCAAAGCAGGCAGACTGACTGAAATATACTGCTGAGGGGAGCAGCGGGTGAGTCAGGAGAGGTCTGCTGCCGCATGTGGGTCACTCCCTTGGCCAGGGATCCAACTCGTGCTGCAGTGGCTACCTATAGCTTCATAGTGCTGAGACTTAACTACTTGCACCACCAGGGAAACCCCTAGTTTGGCTTGTTTTGCCCATTGCCTGTGGGAAAAAGAAGTGGGGTGATTGGTGATACTTTGCTCTTTCAATTTAATAGAAATATAAGTTTTGAATTTGGATTTAGATTTCTCATATTGAATTCTTTTATTTTAAATTACACAACATAAAAATTGGGAAATAAGTTAAAAAAACATTCTGGAAATCATATTTTCCAAATTATCCATAGCTACAAAACAACAGTATCTTGGAAACAATCTTCAATATGACAGCTTATTAATTAAAAGAAATTCTGAAGTACAGAAATTCCTCATGAAAAATAAAAATAGAGGCCAGCCTGGTGGCACTAGGTGTTAAACATCAGCACTATGAAGCTATCGGCAACTACTGCAGCACAAGTTCGATCCCTGGCCAGGGAAGTGACCCATATGGCATAGCAGACCTTTCCTGTCTCGCCTGCTATTCCCCTCAGCAGTGTACTTCATTCAATCTGCCTGTTCTGCTCCCCACTCTGTCTCTGGTGTATCCTCTCAACCCCCACACCTCTGGCCTACACCCCAGTTCTTGTATGCATAAATAAATAAATCTTTTTGAAAAAGGAAAATGAAAATAGAAATCCTATAAAATCTAGATATCGGATACATACCTAATAATATAAAATATAAAACTAAACTAATTGGAAGAGATAATATGCACCATACCCCATACACAGATGTTCATTGCAGCATTATTTACAAAAGTCAAAATTTAGAAACAACTTAGGTGTCCATCAACTGATGACTGGCTAAAGAATGGCAACAGATGACATATAAACAATGGGATACTACTCAGTATAAAAGAAAAGAAAAGAAAAGAAAAGAAAAGAAAAGAAAAGAAAAGAAAAGAAAAGAAAAGAAAAGAAAAGAAAAGAAAAGAAGAAATTCTGCCATTTTCAACATCAATGGATCTACAGGATATTATGCTTAATTAAATCAAACGGAGAAAGACAATGATTCCACTCATACATAGGTATAAAGAGAAAACAACTAAATAAGACAAAAATAAAATTTTAGATTAGAAGGTCAAATTAATGATTCCCAGAGGGAAGAAAGAAGGTGAATGTGGGTAGATCAAGTGGAAGGAATCCACTGCTGAAGGACAAATTTAAACTTTTAATGTTGCACTTAGTATACACAGATGTTGGGTAATAATGGTATACACCAGAAACTGACATTTAATGCAATGTTCTTTTAATAAAAAAAATATGAATATAAAATTTCTCCTTTGTTCTGACACTTTACTTGATGCTCTGATAAGAGGAACTGACACTCTAGACATTTTTTATCTTTGCATTGGGAGGTATTATTGACATTCACACCCTGTTTGCTAAAGCTGGCAGGAAGGGAACAAGTGGCGAGTATGGATCAGGGGAGACACGGTTACAGATGGCTCTGAGGAAAGTGAACACGGGCAATGGCATCAGGGTGTGGATGTGGGCACATTCCTGTTACCAGCAGCACATGCACAGCCTTTTGTAAAGTTTAAGGCCTACAGCTTCTTTATAACCCATGTTCTAAGACTTCCTCATTTCCTGTAGTGCATCCGTGTTCAAATATTCAAAGTTTTCCTCTCAAGGTGCCCTCTGGAATTTTAAATATGCTGCAATTTTGGTAGTTCTGCAATGTATTTTTTAACTTTCTATTTTAAAATAATTTCAGATGTACAGAAGACATGCAAAGATGGTACAGAGAATTCCCATCTGCTTTCTACTCATTTTCTCCTGTTATTAGTTAACATCCTCCAACACCATGCTACTTTGATCAAAACTTAGATATTAACAATGCCACAGTATAAATGAAATAACAAACTTAACTTTGATGAGATTCTTCAGTTTTTCCAAAACTCACTTTTATCTGTTCTAGCATCCCATTTTACATATCATTGTCTCTCCATAATATCCTCTAGTTTGTGACAGTTTCTCAGTCTTTTCTGGTTTTAATGACAAGATTAGTTATCACCTAATACATTTCCTGTTTTGTCTGAGGCTCCCACCTAGTATTATATATATATATATATATATATGTGTGTGTGTGTATATATATATATATACACATATACATATATTTATTTATTTACATCATTCTTCATTTTTGTACAATGTATGCTTTTTCATCTCCGTTACAGTCCCCGTAAAATTCTCACCTAGTGTTTTAAATGGGAAGTCCTCCTGGATTCTACCTGAGAGTTAACTAGCCCTGGTTAATATTACTGTTACATTGTCTATAGTTTTATAATTAGCGAAAAATGACTTTTAAATTAAGGGCTGGTATTTAGATATCCTTTTTTTTAAGATTTATTTATTTATGCATACAAGAGCTGGGGTACAGACCAGAGATGTGGGGGGTGAGAAGATCCATCAGAGACAGAGTGGGGAACAGAACAGGAAGATTAACTGAAATACACTTCTGAGGGGAGCAGTGGGCAAGATAGGAGAGGTCTGCCTCACCATGTGGATTTCTCCCTGGCCGACTGGGGATCGAACTTGTGCTGCAGAGGCTGTGGATTGCTTCATAGTGGGGTGCTTAACCCCTTGTGCCACCAGGGAGGCCCTAGATATCTTTTTAATAAAGCAATCTACATTTGATAATTTGTGTTTGCTTAAATCTGGAAAAGTAACTAAATATTTTATATTCTGTCTTATACTAGTGTGGAAGTTCTAAAGAATATACTAATGATATACTTTTGTGCACTCACAATCTTTCTCTGTCATTTTAATGACTTTTAAAGCCAAGAAATGTCATTAGTATAGTATGCCACCATGCAGAGAAGCAAACATGATGGACTTAAAAGCATCAGTGTGTTTCCAGCATGCTGCTCTGAGACCAGCCTCTCCCACAGGTGCAGCCACATCTCTGCCAACCAGCCTTTAACAGCTGCAGGTAATGGACCTTGGACATTTCACATTCCTTACCCGTGGTGAGGAGGTGCTACTGGTATGCAAATGAAGCTGTCTGATTAACTGGTTATACCGATAAAGTGATGAAATTTCAGAATCTCCTGTGCCATGGGACAATTCATTTCAGCAGGACACCAGGCCTCGGGTAATCCCCACAGCCATGCTGGGTCATCATCTGAGCATCCTCTCATGCATGCTGTCCCTGGGATGAATGGCTTTTTTTAGCACTTAATAAAATGTTGACTGCAGAAAGCTGGGAAATACACAAATGTCTATCTGAGAATTGTTAAGTAGTTTCACTGACCAGTAAGAGAGACCCACAGTTGTGTAGTGGAAAACAAAATACAGTAATGCAGGGTTTGAAGGGGTTCACTTGAATGCAGCAGACCCTGCAAGCTAGCAGTCAAGATCAGTGTTTCTTTAATCAATCACCCTGCATTAGTTAATCCTGCAAATTTTCAGTAAATTCCACATGGGAGTCGACAGGTGTCTCTAGGAAAAAAAGACCAGGAGGCAAGAGGGTTTTCTGAATGCTCCTTCACCATCCCACTCAAAGATCATTGGATTTTATATGCTGGATTGAAGCTTTTGACACACCCTTGCCTATATTGCTGAGGGGACTTAAACATTTACATCAGTTCTCATTTCTCAGCAATCCCAACTAGTTATATACGGCATTTCTAGCCATCAGGAATGAGAAAATACAGAAAATACAGATCTGCCTACGTGTACCCTGATTCCTTCTCCAATCAGTCTCCTAGAATCTGCTCTCAGTCTGAGCAATGGAGATTGGACAGTTTCCCCAAAAGCACATCTACAAGAAAA